TAGGTCTATAGGCATTGTTTGTGAGAAACTTGGAGAAATGTTTATCTCCTTTGTTCGGAACAAACTCTGGATGACTGACTCTGGAGTCATATCGGATGGGGACTTGGATTTGTACTTTTAAACAAATTTTAAGTAAGCAGCAAACAACTCCAGTTCCAGCTAACACTCTTTAAACAGTTACAGCGACAGTTATACAGTTGAAAAACGATTTCAACTGTATAAACAAAAGCTGTCTTTGTAAAAACCCTTGTCCTAGTTATATGGTTTGTCCTAACTAGGGAGGCACCGATATATTGGCCGCCGAAACATATCGGCCGAAAGTGGCACTTTTGGCTAAATGCAGAAAGTGCCATTTTTCTGCTGATACAGCGACGCATCCGTGCTTTCTTTCCTCCCCGCTGGGCGCTGCTCTGTGTCCCAGCGGGGAGGAGAGAAATTGTCACACAGGCAGCCGAGCGCTGCGAGAGGAGAGCACTCTGAGCGGCCGGCGTCTCTCCTCCCACCCCGCTCAGCCTCCTGTCATAGTCCGGCAGAGCGGTGCGTGGGCGGAGACAGCGCTGTCACAGGAGGTTGAGCTCTCCTCCCGCACCGCTCGCTCAGCCTCCTGTGACAGCGTGTCAGGATGGAGAGCCAAAGCAAACACTCAGAGATCAGTGATTGCCGAGTGTAAATTGAGGACGGAGTATGTTACTATAGCCTCAATTATGAATGAATGGGAAGTGATCTACACCACCTCCTGTTCATTCATGGTTGTGGTTATAGTAAACACACAATTTTCTCAAGTTATGAATGAACAGTAATACTCAGTATAGAGGAGGCCTGTTCATTGATAACAGGGGCTACAGAAAAAGAGATTGAGGACTCTGTGTCCTCAATCTCTTATTCTATTTTAAAAGGGAAATATCAGGGGTTTGTTTAGACCCCTAATATTTCCCCAAAGCCCCTAGAAGTAAAAAATAAAAATATGTAATAAAAAATGAATAAATAAAGAAAAATAAATATAAAAAATTAAAAAGTTTCTAAAAAATAAAGAAAAATAAAATATTTGAAAAAATTCAAATAAAAAACATTTTCGGTTTCGGCCTGACAATTTTTTTATTTCGGTTTTGTTTCGGTTTTGAAATTTCCATTTCAGTGCACCTCTAGTCCTAACCCCTGTAACTGCAACTTTTGCTAATCAGCTGGCCTACACATAAATGGGGAGAAAAATATAGGTAAAGGCATGTGAAACAAAAAATACTATCATTACATGTTTTAACCACAATTCTAGAATACAATATTTTTTGCAATAGTTGGCCATTAAAAATAAAGCCACTCTCTGAGTAAGATATCACTGCTGAGAAGTTTAATAAAGGTGATCAATGGTGAGATTTTGGAGGCTGTTAGTCTATTATTCCTTTGTATCTGAAGGTGAAAATCTGTTTATATTTTATGTTTTCGCAGAAATACCATCTCCAAAGCCACCACCCATAGTACCCCCTCCTCCACCCAATCCAGCAGATGCTCCAGTAAGAGAGATTAAGAAGGTCACTGCAGTAAAAGCAGCACCTAGGCCACAGCCCAGTCAAGAAATAAGAGATATCATCAAGATGTACCAAAGCCGTGCCCAAGAAGAGCCTAAACCCTACGAACCAGTCAGGTATGACAACAGAGTAGACTTTTTAAAAAAAGAGAGAAAGAGGGGATCATGTTCAGGTGATCACCAGCCAAACTTATAAATACATATGTATAAAATGTCTTATGTACCAAAGGATTTGTGATTCAGACACCTCTGCCAGGCAGAAAAGCCAGGCCATGCATTTCCTCTGTTGTCCCTGATAACTGTACTGCAGTTTAGCAATGCAGCCACGTTTAGGGAACATCCCAGCCTGTGATTGGATAATGAAGGAGCTGCAGGATGTTAATTAGCTAATCTTTCTGCTCTCCTCTTCTGTGAGCATGTTCGCGCAATGCAACGGAGCTTTGATTGTCTCAGAGTATTGATCGCCCTCTGCTAATTTGAGTGTGGCTCTGCAGGGGATTACAGGAGGCTGATATGAAGATAGATTTAGATGTGTATAAAATATGTTTGATACTTTCTAATCTGGATCAAATTATAGTTTTTAAAATCAGCCTCAAGTTCAGCTTTTAAATGAACCTGTGCTTTGCCCATACATATCAAAGCAACACCTTCACTTTAATGCCCTCCTTCCCAGTAGCACATACTTACTCTGAATTGCTCTAATTTGAGCATCTAAAGGGCTGAGGACTGTTACCCCATGCCCAGTGGCGTAACAACAAAGGTAAGGTGATACATTTAAAAAAATAAAATCCGGGGACATTTTTAAATGTCCCCGGGAACATAAAATAAAACTTTCTTTTTTTTAATACTACTCACCTGATTCCTGGATCCAACAAGCGCAGCCTCCCGTCTCCCACGCTGTTAGAAGCTGCATACACCGTGTGCTGGTTACTACTTAAACCGGCGCACGCAGAAGCTTGTCAGAAGCTGCACACAGCGAGCGCCGCTTTAAGTAGTAACCAGCACACTCTGTATGTAGCTTCTAACAGCGTGGGAGACGGGAGGCCGCGCTTGTTGGTGGATCCAGGAATCAGGTGAGTATTAGAAAAAAAAAAAGTTTTATTTTATGTTCTATTCTTAGTTCTATAATGGCATTGTAGTACTTTCAGGTGGAATACAGCTTCATAACATATCAGCTAGGGAACTACAAGCCCCAGCATGCCCTCATTGCCCCTGTACAAAAACCAGATATTGCCGTTCCCTGGGTGATATGTGTGTGTGTGTGTGGGTGTACAGGGACAATGATGGCATGCTCTGACTTGTAGTTCCTTAGCTGATATATATGTGTGGGGGTGGGGGGTACAGTTCCAGTGGATGTTTATATAATATGGGGGGTGCGAAAAAGATCATAAGACAAAAAGATAAGACCCATAAGACAAAAGATCAAGCACCAAGGATGTCACATGAGGGGGAGGGGAGTGTGCCACATTTTCCTCCATACTCGGAAGTACTGGTTATATTATTTGTTCCTGGCAGCTGAACGGAATGACAGGGATGGGAAGATAAGGTATGTGCTACTTGGAATGGGGGGTATTAAAAAGAACCTATTGCTTTGCCTTGCATGTGCATTTTCTTTAAAGCTGAACTCCAGGCATATAATAAAACTACTGGACACCCCCAGCACTGCAATGGTCAATGCTTATTTTTGCCTAGGGTACCATTTAAAAGCACTTTTACATACCTTATCCCTCAGTCCTCCTCTCTGTGCGAACGTTCCCAAAAGCTGCTTTTCTTTGGCGCCCCAGTCCATTGGTCACATTCTGACATCATCAGATCTTCATTTAAAGTGAGGACTCCAAAGGCCTGCCCACACACTGAAGCCTCAGAAGGAACAGTTGCATTTAACCCTTGCAGTGCAGGGAAGCCCCAGTGCAAGGGTAGTTTTTCTATTTCTTCAGCTTGAAAGTTAGGAGGATGCAAGATAGCTTATACAAAAAAACATTAGACACAAGAAACATAATCACTAGCTTGCACATCTAGAGAGCAGACTGTAAATACAACAGAAATTGACAGGATCAGGAATGCTCTTGACAGCTATTAATTGCATAAGAGATCAGCAGACTGGAGAACAATTAACCAAGAGACAGAATCAGTTAAGTAAATAAGAAAGGTTTGAGGTCTGTGCACTCTTGGAATTATGGTTTGAGTGATCCCTTTCCCACTACTGTAGGAGAAGTGCCCAGACCTTCGTAAAGAAGACAGACCCTAAGGCCGAGGCTCTTGAAAGACTACAGAACTCTGCTCCTCCTCCTCCAGAGAAGGTAAGGCCAATAGGAAATGCTGTATTTTCCAATAAGGCAGTGCAAACAGCAGTTAGGATGTGAAAATGCATTAATGCTGGTAACAATATGATCATTGGAAATAATACCCATTTTGATGAAAGACTCTTACCTATCAGAAATTGGGTCATTTGATCAATACATGATCATGTATTAGGAAAAATAACAATCAGCCCTAGGGGAGAATCCAATCAAAATAAATCAAATGCTAGCACAAAGTGAGCAAAACCTTTTCTATCAGACTCTGGTTCCCCGGCTTTGGTGCGCCTTCTGTGGCTAGAACATCTAATCTTGTTAATGTGAAACTGAGGTTAGCCAGCTTAATAGACAGCGGAAGCAAAAAAAACTTGGGGTTCGGGGGAGTACACTTTGTTTGTAACACTTTCAGTTATTCCTTTGCCCATGATTGTCTTCTGTTGATTTTGGTCACGTAATTAAAATGACCAGTAAATTCTGTCCCTGCAAAGAAAAAACAGAACACTTGCCTCTCCTGCTGCACGTGCCACTGAATGCCACTTCCACTGAAGACAAATCGAATAAGAGTTTAGAAATCAACACTTCAGAAGTGTTAATCTCCAGAGTCCCTGCTGCACTTAGTGGTTCCTCCCTTTAACTTCCACTTTACTACAGGGCACAGTATTGATGTAGGGCTTGGCGGGAGGAACTACTGAGTGTAGTGGGGCACCAGGAAATGGACTCTCTGAAAAGTTATGGTTTCTAAGCAAATTTCATCTGGCAATTTCCCTTCAAAGGACCAGTGTACATTTGTAACAGCACTGCAAAATATACATTATGACTTTTTTTTTTTAAGGCCACTTTAAAGCCACCACCGCCCCCTCCAATTCCCTCTTCCAAAGAAAAGACAAGTGAGATGTCAAATTCTATTCGAGAGAAGCAGAAGCCACTCCTAGGGCTCTTTTCATCTGGTCTCATAGCCCCAGAAGTGAAAGCTCCGAAGGCTGCAGGTAAAATGGGAAATGGTTTTCTGAATAACCTGCTTTTGTTTTTAAAGCTCTTCCGACCTCTTCAAAAACATTCAGTTTTATTCAGTTTAACAAATGAATTTCTTTTGCTTGCAGGACGAACTCTTGAGGGTGACCACACCACTAAGTCAGCTCTCATTAAACATACTGCCAGTGTTTTCTTCTCCTACAGTGATGTAAACTGGAGAATTTATGTGCGGAAGGAAGTAAGTCAGTATACTTAAAGTTTTTAGAATTAAGCACAGTCCCATTACAACGGGGCAGTGACAGTGCCACTACAATGAATTTGTCCCAGAACACTGATATAATAAATCCAACATTTACAAACTTCTTACAGAGGGTATTTATATACACTAAGAATTAAAAAAAATAGAGGGGTGGTCCTTATTTAAACTGTGTTTTTTCGTTTTTGATAGTGTTGAGAATGGTTTATAACCCCTATTCCCTTTTTTTTGCAATCTGTGTCCCTGTTTGGAATATTTATCCCCCTTTCCTGTTTTATTGCTGTTCATCTGGGCATTAGGGATATTTTCCCTCATTTCATATGTGGTCACCGTGACAGGAATAGAGTGCAATCTCTGGTATGGGGCACAGACAGTAGAGAGAAAAAGGGTAATAACCTCTATCTGGAACATGTATTAATGAGATGCTGAATCAGACTCGTCAATAATTAATGGATGAAAAAGGCCAATCAAATGTATATGGAGTGCAATGGCTCCAGTGAAGATGCTCTTATCACAACCCTAATTAGAGTTCCAAACCAAAGAAATAAGTGTCCAAAGTCCATATTAGTGTTCATTTAAAACAAGAAAACATAAAACAGCCAAATATATTTTGGGGATTCAAAGATCCCCCTATTCTTTAGGACTCAAATTTGGTATGTGGTTGGGAAGACTTAAAATGGACAAAGTCACAACAATTAATTATTTGGAAGATGTTGGGGAGAACAGTGACACAGACAGTAATAAAAACCCGAAAAAAGGTTATAAACCTTTCCCATTCTAACCAAAAAAATATGATTTGGTTGGAGTTGCACATTAAGCATGGAAAGCAATATCTATGTAGCATATATAGACAATTGGCAATTCCCAGCCAATCAGCATGGAGCCGGCTTACCGGGCAATCAAGAAGCCAGGCAGCCATGACATTGCCTGGGAAACCGGCTCCATGCTAGCGGAAGTACCGGTATCGGGGATGTCTGATGTCTTTTTATTAGCATATAAGAACATCTTTCCAAGTTATGATCATATTGATGCCTTCTAATTGTAAATATTCTTCTTCGCAGCTCTTCTATCCAAGAGAAAAATTCACTCAACCATATTTTTTGAATCTTCTGTGTGAACAGGTGAATACCAAATGCAGTAATTGTCTTTTGAAAATTTTTCATATGTGTGAATATTATGAGCAAATCTTCAATATCACCCCCTGTATCAAGCTACAAAGAAAATAATATAGGCAAGAGAGTTTTGGGCATCAAATAGGTGAAGTTGATTTGTCGCAGTCAAAACTTTATCTTCCAACCACCTTGTGGAGTAATTCTTATTTAGTAGAACCGGCACAGTGCATCCACTCCAAATGTAATTATGTAAAGCTTACAAATTATACTTCTCTAAATCTTTAGGTTGGTTTTACATGTATGTAGTACAGTAATGCACCTGTTTAAATGTGCAATGCCAGAACCATGGTGGGTTACATGGCACTTCAACACATTAAAGGAATGTGCCTCCAACACACCCATGTTGCAGCACACCACAATTCACGGTAAGGCACTACTATGTATTGTAGTGCTCTGCATTGGCAAAAAGAGTGCAGGTGCAATTTTATGTTCCATTGTCGTGCCCATTCATGTATGAACTAAATACTTAAAA